TTCTCAGGGCCATTAATACACTGACATAGATGGGGAGTTTTCAAGTGGCCGAGGATAGAGATGTACAGAAGAAGATGTGTAGAATGAAGAAGTGGGTGGGCCTCCAATGTACCCAAGCATGGAAGAGGAGAGAAAGATAGATTACAGATATATAAGTAGATGAAGGCATAGAAGAGTAGATGGATGTGTGGATGGATGGATGAGTGGGTGGATGGATGGATGAATATGTGGGTGGGTGGATGGATGGATGTGTGCATGGATGGGTGTGGATGGATGGATGGGTGGATAAATGGATGGCTGGGGGATGGCTGTGTGAGTGGATGGATGGATGGATGGATGGATGGATGGATGGATGGATGGATAGATAGATAAATGGATGGGTGGATGGATGGATAAATGGATGGATGGATGGATGGATGGGTGGATGGATGGATGGATGGATGGATAAATGAATGGATGGATGGATAAATGGATGGATGGATGGATGGATGGATGGGTGGATCAATGGATGGATAAATGGATGGATTGGTGGATGGATGGATAGATGGATGGATGGATGGATGGATGGATGGATGGATGGATAAATGGATGGATGGATGGATGGATGGATAAATGGATGGATGGATGGATGGATGGATGGATGGATGGATGGATGGATGGATGGATCCTACCCATCCATAACTTAAGGTGTAAGTTATGGTTGGTGCCAGGATGCAGAAAAGGAGGAGACTGAGCCAAGAGGCATGGACTTCTGTAGCAGGTGCCCTCTGAGAGCAAAAGCAGGGGGAAACCCCAGGGCTGAACAAGATGAGGGGGTTTGAGACTGTGCAGAGCAAGCAGAGTGGCCACAAGAGCTAGTCCCTTGGGTCTACAGAGGGACTCATCATCAACTCGCACTTATGACAACTCTCCCTTTTTACTCTTTATCTTGCAACAATTATAGTCTGAAATAGTACATACTTTAAAAACTATAGCTTTCTGTTAGTTAAAATGTATAAAGAAACATGTATGGGAGTTGTTCCTATCAGATACCAAGACCGGGTGGCAGAAACAGAAGTGCTGTCGACTGCCAGTGATAGGAGGCGGTTACCTATGAGAACATAGCCAGATGCTGGCCTAGATGAAGGCCACGGAGACATTCAGGGCCTTCTGCTCAGAGCCGGTGGGCGTGTTGCCTTATGCAATGAAGGCAACTCTGCAGATGTGATTAAGCATCTTCAGGTGGTGCAGTAATCCAGGGTCGCTCTGTTGGGCCCTAACTGTGCATAAAATTGGACTTATAAGGGGGAGACTTGAGTGCAGAACAGCAGAAGGCACTGTGCTAATGGCAGCAGAGAGGACAGTGATGCAGCCACTCTCAGGCACTTCCCCTTCCCTGGAGACAATACCCAGGACCTGCCATACACGGTCGGCTGGTCACAAGACACAGAGAGCACGGGGGCTGACAGAGGAAATGGGGTCCACTCTGTGGCAACCAGAAATCAGAGAGTAAGGGGAAGGAAGGAGCTGGGGAAGGAGATCTATTCCAGCTCACACCCCAGAGACCCACCTCGGCCCAAACCCTGCCTTCCGCCAGCCATGGACTGATGCACTGACAAGCATAGCCCCACCTCTATCCAGTCAGCATCCACGCACATGAGAATTTGAGGACATTTTATACCCAAGCTATTACCCAGGCCCAGGCCAAAGAATGTCTGCAGCCACTAGAAGCTTGAGCTCACCCCAGATGGGCTCTCCACCAGGTCCTCCAGAAGAAAGCACCCTTGCCAACGCCTTTCTTAATGTCTTGATTTTACCTCTGTATGATTCACAGGCACATTTAGCCTCTTGAGCTCTAAAAGAATGAAGTTTCTCTTGTTTATAAGTTTCTCCATTTGGGGCAATTTATCATGGCAGAAATGGGAAGCTAATACAGCACATACATGTGTGTGCACCGGTGTGTGTCTTTGCTCTCTAGAACCTTACAATAAAAGCTTCTCTTAGCAGTTCCTCTCCTTAGGTGGGGGCACTAGAGCAGGAAGGCTTTAGGAATTCTGACTTGATGGTGCTGAGGGTGGACCCAGTCCTCAGACCCGAGGAGTGAATACTGGGCTGCCCCTCGTGATGCTAAGGGGTGCTAGGAAATGTAGGGAAAAGGGTTGGTCAAGAGCATAGGCTGCATAAGACAGTGTTAGGCCTCAGTTTCCCCGTCTTGTAGATGTGCCATAATAGTGATAACCTTATAGCATTATCGGAAAGATTCAATCAGGTCAGATGTGTAAAGGGCTCACAGCAGGAGCTGGCCCAGCGTAACTTCCTAGTAGTAACCTATTGTCATTAAATGTATCGGTAACACATTAAAACACAAAACCATTTACAATGACGTCACCTTACCTCAAAAGAGAATCATGACACGTTAAGTATAAAAAGATTAAAAGCTTAAGAATTAGTAAATTCGGTGTATCAATGCAGAGAAATAGTATCTCCAGGAGAAAAAACAATCCTTTAAAGACACAAAATTACTGATTTTGTTTTTGTTTTTGTTTTTGTCCTTTAAAAAATATGGAAATACTGTAGCAAATAGTTAACCTGTTTTCCCAATATTTCTTGTCGAATTGATTATCTTCCCTCCAGTACAGGCTTTTGGCACCTTATCAAAGATCAGATTGCTGGATAGATCTGGTGAGGTTTCTGTGTCCTCTATCCTGTTCCGTTGATCCTTATGTCTGCTTTTGTTCCAGAGCCACGCTGTTTCTATCCATATTTCTTTGTAATCTAGTTTAAAATCAAGTACTGCCATGCTGCCTGCATGGTTGAAGAACAAAGATGTGCCACCTACACAGAACTAATAACCCCAATTAATGTGAGCACTACTTGCTGCAACATGAAATAAGACAAACAATATCAACAAGTATGAAAAAAGGGATAGAGGAACCACTAGAGGAGGAGAAAGAGGCAGGAAAGGGCAAGGGGGGAAAGAAAGAAGCTGCAGTATGTCCATGTAATCACTGCCTAGATGATTGTAACCTGCATGAATTGTGAAGATATACTAATAAAATTGAAAACAAAAAACTTTTTAAATGTAGACATAGACACAGAACACAAAACTGACTATCTGCTATCATTTGTGCATGGTTTTTGTGTCCCCCCCACCCCTGCAGATTTGTTTCCCTGGAATGAGGTTCCCAAGGCGGTGGAGCTGGGAAATGTGAATCATTACGAGGCGGGGCCAAGTGGAAGGTCATTAGGTAATTGGGGGCGTGTCCTCTAAAGGGATTCTGGGATGTAGGTCTTTCTTTTTGCTTCCTGGTTTGAGATGTGACATCATCTACTACCCTCAGCAGATGCCAAACCAATAACTGTGAATTAAATAAACATTTTTGGGGCCTGCCAGATAGTTCAGTGGAATAAAGCACCTGCTTAGACAGAGTGCAGTGGCCGGGGTTCCATCTCCAGAGTGCCCTGCTGGACTCGCTCCCCGGGCATGCTGAGATTGTGATTGAGGTTGGGCATGGTGGCACACACCTGTAATCCCAGCACTTGGGAGGCTGTAAACAGGAAGATCACTATGAGTCTGCTCAGTGTAGTGAGACCCTGTAGACCCTGTACCAAATACATTAAAAATTAAATAAACATTTTTTTCCTAAGTAACTTGCCTCAAATATTTTACCGCAGTAACCGAAAGCTAATACACCATCGTAACCACTTTTAATCCTACAGGTAAGTAGTGTTGAGTATATTTACTCTGTGTATTCGGTCCATTTTGATATTTTCTTATATTTTGCTTCTTAACAGCGATCACAAAGTGCTTCGGCCTTGGCAAAGACAGAAAGAGGGGAGGGAGGGTGGGAAGGAAGGATGGAAACCAAGAAGGAACAAAATAAATAAATACACACAGAGGGACATAAATTCGTGATACTTTACATCATTTTTGCACTGACACAGTTTGAAAAACAACCTGGAGTCAAACCAATTAAAGATTGATTAAGTAAATTATGGCATATGCAGATGACAATATGAAGTAACTGTCTAACCTAAAAATGAAAATGAAACATTGGTACTGAATTGGAAAAATGCTCATGATGGTATAGGTGAAAATGGACATATCAGAAAAATGCATGTCGTCTGCATCCTAGATTTAAAAATAAAAGTATGCCAAGACTACTTTCCTGCAAGTATGCATTTTTAAAAGCCTGTATTGGTCAGGGTTTTACTTAGAGGAACAGATATAATGTAAGGAACAGATACTAACATAAGATATACAATGTATAAGGAATTACAAGATTGGCTTAGGACAGTCGGCCGCAGAGTCAGATGGGGGCATGTGCAGAGGGCATCCACACACCCCAGACTGAGGAGTTCAGTCCCAAGGTCTGAAGCTCACTGCTGTGCTCCGGCCAAGTCTCTATGTGTCAGCTGATGGGTCTGCGAGGGAAGGCTGAAGAGTCTGCGATGGACGCTGAAGAGTCTGTGACAGAAGGTGAAGGATCCAAGCCAGAGGCTGAAGAGTCTGCGCTGCAAGCCAGGCGTTGAGGTCCAAGCTGAATGCGAAGACTGAAGTTCCTCCGACCAAGTAGAACATCCAATACGACCTCAACCCTTTATATGGTCTCTTTGTGCTGAGTCATCTGGGAGCAGAACAAATTGTGCCCCAGGATGGGATCCCCACCAGCCCAAACTGCAAACTGTGATGCAGAGTCGGCCAAATTGACCCAATATATCAATCACTACAAAGCCTACTAAAATTCATCCCAACATCTTAACAGTAATCACTTGTAGGTAGTAAAGGTGAGATTTACAAAGCAAAGGAAAACGAAAACTTCTTTTTGAATTCTTTTTTTTTCAATCATTTGAATTTATTACAAAAATATTTATTTATTTGGCATAGGGCCTCACTATGCATCTCAGACTCATCTTGATCCTCCTGTCTCAGCCTCCCCAGTGCTAGGATTACAGGCATACACCACCACACCCTGTCTCAGAGGCTGGCCAAAATGCACCCAGAGTTCCAAGGCCCACAGAGCATGCAGTGTCGGGGATCGAACATGGATCCTTGCACTTGCCAGGCAGGTGCTTAGACCACCAAGCTGTCTCCCCAGCCCATTTGGACTTTTTTAGATTCATGATGAACATATAATAATTTTTACAGTACAAATAATAACAATATTAAACTCAAAGCATGCAGCCTGCTGTCAGAGGAGAGTTTTATCACTGCTGAGCATTTGTGAATGACCTGGAAACAGATGCAGTGGACTAGCAGGCTCCCTGAAGGGGTCACTGATCCGCACCGCCAGTCAGAGCTGAACTCCTGCAGCCCCGCGGCCATCCATCTTGGTCTCCGCATCAGGAAGTGACTTCCACTGCTTCTCTCAATAACTCATCCGGGGCTTAATCATCTTCCCTCACAGGAAGTCCTTCCTCCATCGAAGTTAAGTCCTTCCTGCTGCCCTGTCACCCTAATGGATGGATCTCTTTGCTCTCCTACTCTTTGGAGTCAAGGGCCAAGAGTGAGGCAGAGGGCAGGGGCCACATGACTGTCTGCAGTTTGTCACTTTGGCCTGTACAGTGGCAAGGCTTCTGGGACCATGGCATGGCAGTGCTTGGCCATCTCCTACAGCCCAAGGTTGCTGCGGCGTCTCTCAGCAGCAGAGCTCCGGCCCAGGGGGGTTCCCTGAGGACCCCAACCCGCCCCTCCCCACCCTGGATGCTGCGCTCTACATAAACTCTGCCTCCCTGGCCTCTTTCCTGTCATATTTTATGCATCTTGATGGTCACTCACGCCAAGATTTACGAAATTCATATCCTTTCGAGCCAGAGGAAAATGGGAAACCCAAGATTTACTGTCCTCGCAGGAGACGCTGGGGAGAGGTGGACCCAGAAGCTGGGGGAGAGACGATAAGAGCCCCGGAGACGGACAAGCGCTTATTTGGTCACAGCCTCTGGGATGCTGCCACTCTGGCAAGGAGCACGTCTGTGTCCAGATCTTCTCTCCTGTCAGGGTGTTGGGAGAGCGCAGTGCAGGACCATGTGCCCAATAGATAGACTCCTTCACTCGGCCAGCCTGGGGGTGCCTGACAGAAGAAGGGACCTGTGGCTTCCCAGAGGAGATGTCTAGGGGAGTTGTTTGACCCCACGAAGCCATAGCTCTGTCCTCTGCAATGTGTGACTGAGAACAACACCTTCTTCTGCAGGAGATACATGGAGAAAGGCCCCGGATCAGACTGTCCACGGTTAATTCATAGTTCTAGACTCAATAATTTGGCTACTGAACTTCTCTGGGTCCCCACTTGGACAACTAGAACACGGGAAATACCTGAGAAATATTACCAGCAAGCTATAGAGCTTACACGAATTGACACACATGAGGCGCTGAGGACCATGTCCATGACATAATAAATGTCACAGATGTCTGCACTCAGTATTAATACAGTCGACGTGTTGAGTGGTGTCCTAGAATTTCAAGGCGATCTTGAAGTTTGGGACTTACCTGGCATGGCTTCCTGGATTATGCCCTGAGGCGCATCCATGTATAAAAATTCATCGCAGTACGTACCACGTACACACTTCACTATCTCTATGGTAGGCCTTCATAAAAAGAAGAACATGACAATTTTAGTCCGATTGTCTTGTAGATACCTCAGATCTGTGACTGACTAATAGAAAATCTGCTTAACTTTCCTCCCTCTCTTTACGGTGCTATAAAGCAGACATGATATCAGCAGCTGCCCGCAAAGGCTGAGCGAAATAACACGTGCAGAACTCTAAGAGGAGCACCTGGTAGGGCTGTGTGCTCGGCGTTGTCGTCTTAGTGGCCTTCTCTCCCTCCTTTGTTATTCTGCTCTTTTCTGCTTTGCCTTATTCAAGTGAGAGATGCCATATGACACTTAAGCTTGTGTGACTGATTTAGTTCACTCAGCAATGCTACAGAAAAAAGAAAAATGAATCCTAGTGGCAGGATCAGTGGGATCTTAGGTTTGTACCAGCACTGTCTTTTCCTGGTGGTGTAGCTTTCGGACACTGGCATGTTCTTTCTTAGCCTCATCTTATGTTTATTAAGTTCCTGTTTCAGGGCACGAGACCTGATGCCAGGGATAGGGAAGCTCTGTGTAAGACTGCGCCAGTGGGCATTCGGTGCGCAGTAACGGATCACAGCCCTTCTCCTCCCCCTCCCCTTCCCCCTCCTCCCACCTCCTCCCCCTCCTCCTCTTTCTCTTGCCCCTCCTCCTCATCTCCATTGGAGTCTGCATCTTCATCAATCAGGAGGCCATTGCTTGGGTTCAAGGTGAACACACACCGTATCAAGATGGGACCAGGATCAGGAATAGAATTCTAGGGAGGCCAAGCCAGAGCTGGAGCAGGTTGAAGGATCTCCCCCAAGGCTGTGTCCTCATCCCACATAACCCACCTCCACTTCTTTGTACTTAACCCAAAAATAACCTCAAGGAGAGACAGGCAAGGCTATCAAGTGATCTGAATGCCCTTGGGAGAGGCTGTGAAGGATGCTCCTCGTCTCTCTCCACAAGCCTTGGTCTCCAGCTCAACAGGGAAGCTGGGAGAATTTGAGAGTCTCCGGAGCCTGTGCTCAGCACCTGCACTGCACACACCTCCTGGACTGAGAGCCAGGTCAGCTCTTGGGACCCCTCAGCTCAGTTCAAAGAGATCAGATCTCCAGATCACTGTAAGACAACGATAATAAATAGTACTAAAAACAATGGCTAGCATGCAGAAGAGATTGTGTCTGTGTTCATTGAATGAATGAATAAATGAATGAATGAATGGTTTTAGCTTTTACCTGATGAGTGTTTATTTGCCAGACAGGATGCCAAGCACCTAACCCAAGTGATTTTTAAGTCTCATGCAAGCAGCCCATGAGTGGCTTCTATCGGTATTCTTAATTTACAGAGAGGGACACTGAGGGCCAGAGAGGAAAGTCATGTGCCCCTGGTCCACCAACTAGAGAGCAGCAGGGCTGAACCTCAACCCGCTTGCAGTCCACCTACCACCCCACCCTTCCAACCCAGTACTCAGCCAAGCATTCTGCACCAGCCCAGGCACCCAGAAGACTTTGAATAGCTGCTTTCTGAGTGACCGAACAAACATCATAGACCATCTGCTGAAGTCTCCCTGGGAAAATGCATCTTTTTCAGCTTTCTGCCAGGTGGAAGTGTCTTTCCTCGCCCACTCCCTGGGGCCCCCTAAAACTTCTGGAGGACACAGCAGCTCTCAGGCACGGGAGTCCGGTCCATGCGAGATTAACATGTGAACGTGACATGGTGCTGGGCTGCTTTTCCTCTTCGGTTCAGAGCCCCACAGTCTACCACGTTTACCTCCTTGGCCAGGTGACCTTGGTACAAATCGTCTTTGTGCTTCTGGTGTCCACCCTGCACCTGGAAGGAAGCCTGTTGGCAGGGCCCTGCCTCTCCTATGAGGTTATGTGAGGCCAAAATGAGAGCGTTGGTTAAGAGCGAGCAGGCTGTCAGGAGGCCCGAAGTTCAAGTCCCCGCTCTGTCTTTTTTCCTGCCTCATGAATACACAGGACCCACTTCCCAAGCTTCAGTCCTGCGTTCCAAGAAGGAGAACGTCGAGATGGCAGCCTGCATAGCACCAGCAACGCACGCTTTATCAGCTGTGCTGACGCACATGGCCTGCTGCCGGGAATATAGTATGTGTTAAGTAAACGGAAACTACTCCTGCTCCTTGTGTTCTGTTCTAAGTTGTCAGGGATTTTAAAGTTACTTTTGTTTTGTGGAGGCAGATGGGATATTCAGGCAGCTGTAAGAAGAGACTCAGACTCGGAACCTTGCACAACAATCAGAAGGCGTGTCTTGATTTCGGAACAAAAGAAAATGGGAAGGAGAGCCTCATGACAGCAAGATGCCTGTGGTTTCTTCTTCTTTCTCTTTGTTTTGTTTCATTATGTTTTATTTCATATTTCAGTTTTTTAGCTGCTTTTATAGTTAAGTCTTAGCTAAATCCCTTTCTCTAAAGGGATTCTCCATCATATCCTATTATTATCTGGTCCATGATGAGCACTTGGTCCTTTCTTTTGTGTGGGTATCAACTCTACACAATTGGCAGTATGTCCCTGGAGAACCATGTTGGAAGAGATTCTTAAATTTGTAGCTGAGGCCAGTGGAAAGGCTAGTTATTATTGGCTAGTTTGGTCTGCTATCATTGTCAACTAGTTTGGTCTGCTATCATTATCAACTAATATTGTCTGCTACCATTATCAACTAGTGATGTCTGCTATCATTATCAACAAGTTATGTCTGCTACCATTATCAATTAGTGATGTCTGCTACCATTATAAACTAGTGATGTCTGCTGTCATTATCAACTAGTGATGTCTGCTGACATTATCAACTAGTGCTGGCTGCTCCTTATCAGGTAAGGATGTCTGCCCCAGGTGCCAAATGGAAGCATGACGTGGAATGCTCTGTGAACTTCCTATGTCTGCAGCAGATATCTGAGTCTAGCACAGAGGCACATGCTCATAAGAGCCAGGGCAGCCTTTGGAGATCATCTGGTCCAACCTTCCCACTGTATCCGCAAAGAGATATCATCATTGTATGTAGAGAAGGCACATATCTTGAGAACACACAGTGATGCACCCAAGTCCCACCGAGCATCCTTCCTCCTACAGCATGGAGACTTAGAAAATGGGTCACAAGTCACAGACACCGGCCCGTTGAGCGCTGCCCTGAGTCGCAGGTCCTTTGCAAAGGCTGCTCGCAAGGCCAGGGAGCCCACTGTGGTATGTGTGACTTGGCCAACCTGGACCCCAAGAAAACATGTATGTCAACTGGGACAGAAGCTCCTGAGGGGATTCGCCTCTCTGTGCCCACTGCCCTCCACATTCAGGCTGTGTTTATGCTGCTCACAAAGTGGCTTCCTGGTTCCAAGAGGAATGAGGTTTTTTAAAGGGTTATAAAGTGAGTCCAAAGGCTTTTTGGACATCAAATGGCTCATAAAAAGGAATGTTTCAACAGTTCCAGCCTAAATGAATCTAAAACGCAGCATGTGCCTCCTGCTCGTCTGTCACACCAGAACGTTCTGGCAGGAGATGGAAAGAGAAGCAGCAAGTGCTTCGGGCCTCGCTCTAACTGGAGCTTGAGTTTCCGAAGCCCAGAAGTGTAGTTTTTATTGTAGCCTAGAGCAGATTGGAATAAAAGTTTGCTTCATATTGAATTAGCTAAAAATAAAGGGAAATATTTCTGCGGGTATTTTTAATGTCTATTCTAGCTCACTGTCCTATCCAGAACATGTTTGTTTGTTTGTTTGTTTGTTTGTTTGTTTGTTTTGTACTGAGTATTGAACAAGCCCCTTCACATTGAGCTACATCACCAGTCTTTTTTAATTTTTTTTTTAATTCTGAGACAGGGACTCACTAAGTCTAAAAATTGGCTGGGGTAGGGTCACATTTGAGAGTGCTCAGCCTCTACCTTCCAGAGTTCTGGGATTACAAGCAAGGACCACCATGTCTGGCTCAGAAAATGGGGTCCACACTCAGCACACTGACATTGAGCTGGATAGTTCTTGTGGTGGGATGGTTCTGAGTACTCAGACACACAAAGCAGCAGCCCCGGCCTTCGCCTACTCAACACAGTGAGGTCCTCCTCAGAGCTCTGCTGACAAAACATGCCATGCACCCAGGGGACAAAGTAGCCCACCCCCATTGAGAACTACTGTATGAGACTCAGAAGTCAGTATCGTAGAAGTTTCTAGATGCAATAATGGGGTAAAAGTAGAGGTAGATGAATACCTGGCCTCCCACGGAAGGCAAAAAATTAAACTCTAATAGGACAATTAAAACAGAATAGTTATCATCTGGATTGCAGGGGAAGACGTGTATAGATTATTATTTGTGGTCTTCTATCCCCTTCATTGCAGTAATATAGAAAAGCAACGGAGGCAGCCCGCATCAATGTGCGGACCACAATGACAAGAATAAGGTTGACTAACCTATCATTGTGCAGCCATAAGAGTGGTCATGAAGACTTCACTCAGGTTCTGTGCAGACTCTAGTTACATTATTATTATGTCTAGGCAGAAATATTATCAGTTTGCAACAAATCGTAATAGACAAAAAGCAGTATATTGTAATGTGTGTGTGTGTGTGTTATAGAGCAGTAGATAAAATGGGTCCTTTATCTTCAGAGGTGGTGCTTTGAGGAGCAGATTGAGTCATGGGGTGCTGTATTTATCAGTGGATTCATCCATCTTACCTTTGGTTGATTGTGCTTCTAGGAGGTAGGGCCTTGTTAGAGGGGTCAGGTCACATGGGGTCACAGGAGGTGTGACCTGGAAGGATGTCTCCCCTTTCATGGCTTCATGGCTTTCTTTCTCTCACTGTTTCCTCGCTGCCATTGGCCTGAGCACCTTTCCTCCACCACGCTCCCCTACCATGCCACTTCTACCTTGAAGCCAGCCAACTATGGATTGAACCACCAAAACTGTGAGCCACCTTACAGGCTCCATCTTTAAATTGTGGGTGCTGGGTATTTTGTCCCACTGACTGGAAAACTGGCTAATACCACCACAGACACCGGCAGACCAGGTGGTCATCCTAAGGGGAGAACAAGAGAGCTTAACCCATCCATGCAGTTGTAAGGTGACTGTTCACACAGAGAAATGATGATGAACCCCCCACCCCGGCCCCGATCATTCATGAAGACAGAGAAATCCTCAATATAAAGCATCAGTTTGCACAAGAAGGCAGCCTTCTCAAGCAAGACAAGTTTCTTTTGGCACTGTGTCTTGGCTACAGCAGAGCAGGGCCTTCAGCATGAAATAAATATCAAGTCTTATAAGTGAAAAGAATGAATCAGATAGCGTGTCAAGGAACTTCTCTCTAGAGAAACTTCATGGTTTAAAACAACCAAATGAAGTGACTTAAAAAAAAAAACCTGAAGCATGGTTTTGTTTGTGCTGCTGAACCCATTTCCTTTGTTTGGTGGTGATTTTGAAAATATCAGCTACTTCCCCAGTGTGGATACTGGGCCCTGTTTTTGAAAGTTGCAGAGTAAGCCTTATTCTCAAAGAATTACATTTTCCAGTGCTAGTCTGCCTGGGGCAACCTGCAGGAATATCTAGGCTGCTTGCTTGCAGTCTGCTGAATTTGGCGTTCTCTCTGGACAGGAAAATGACCACTCAGAGGAGGTTGTTTTAAAACATATAGGAAATGAGCAACTCTCTGCTGCCTAGAACAAGACCACAGAAGTAATCAGTAAGCGTGAAGAAAGCCTACCAGGATGCACAGAGGATTTCTTTTGGATATTAGGGCATTTAGAAGCAACCACTAATACCAGGGAATGCATAAGGCCTTGTGCATTCCTGGGCCATGACACATGCTTGGAAAGCATCTAAGATCATCAGCTTTAACCTCTAGCTAATAACTAGACATGACTGTAAATGACATCACTCCAGAGTCGATCTGGAAAGACTGATTTATTGTTGTCTTCTTTATTTCTATCTTATTCTTTTTATGTGGTGCGGGAGAGACAGGTTCTTTGTGGCGAAGGGAAGTTTTTTCAAAACACTCTCTGAACTCGAGCTGAAGGAAAAGAGATCTGAGGTAACACATTACAAAGACTATGGACTTTACATAAATATTTTCATAAAGTCACCACAGAAGAAGTTACAACTATCAAACGACAAACATTCTGAAAGGGGACATCAGAGGTCCAGAATTATCACATTATAACATGTAAACTGCCAAAATTTCAATATAAAGTTAATAAACATACAGGGAGTAATAATACAGACTATAAATAGAAGAAACAAATGGAAGTTGTACCTAAGGAAGTATATAGACCTGAGACTTAAGTATATTTGAAACTCAACCATGACCTTAAAACTATGTCTTAAATATGATTTAAAAATAAAGCAAAAGGATTAAAGCACCTGCTTAGGCAGACACAGGGGCTAGGGTTTGATCCCCAGCATGCTGTGCTGGCCCCACCCATGGGACATGCTGAGAAGGCGATTGAGACTGGGCGAGGTGGCACCTGCCTGTAATCCCAGCACCTGGGAGGCTGAAAACAGAAGAATCACTATGAGTCTGATCTACATAGTGAGACTCTGAACACCCTGTAGATCCTGTCCTAACTACAGAATGAATGAATGAATGAATGAATGAATGAATGAATGAATGAGAAGCAAAGCAAAGGGGAAAACCCAGAAACTCCAGAGAAGGGTGTTCCAAGCTGAGAAACTGCACAGGGGAGCCAAAGAGAAACCCTAGAGCTTAAAAGTAAAATAAATGAAATAAATTTTTTATTACAGGCCTTCAGTAGCACATTTGTGCAGGTAGAAAAAAGAATCATGAACACAAAACCAGGTCAAGTGGAGTCATCCTATCTAAGTGCAGATAAGAAAAAGAACGAAGAAAAATGACCAGGATATGAAACCAGGACAGATGCCACCTTATCCATAATAGGAGTCCCCAAAGGAGAGCCAAGGAAAAAGATACAATGACTATCTGAAGAAGTACTAACCAAAAAATTTTCTAGTTTGATTGAGGGCAAGAGCAATGCAAGAAATTGAGTAAACAAGAAGAAAGATGGAGGCAAAGCGATCCATTCTAAACTGTAAGACACCAGTGACAGCAAGAGGAAAGAAATAACTAGAAGGGACCCCAGAAAATAGTAACACTAGTTTCTCATCAGAAGTTACGAAGACCAGAAGATAATTGCATGAGAATTTTATAGTGCTGAA